CCACCTTGCAGCCCCTTGTTATTTATATTTAGTAAAACAATGGCAAGACTGTTTAAACAATCTCTTCCTGTCAATCTCATTTATTATAGTAGTAAAGGGATATTAACCTTAGTCATGAGTTCTTCTGGAGGACTGCAATAGAACTGGATTCTAATTTAAAGCACATTTTCTTACACACTGAGAAAAATAACCCCTAAATCTTTCATTTTTATCTGTACTTGCTGTACTGATATAAACATATAATTCCCAGTTATAAAGCATAATTTTTTTATAATTAGAAATTTCCGCCCATTTTATTACATATATTGAGAAAATAACTGCTGAATATTTCAGTTGTATCCAAACAGATGCAACATTTCTCATCTGCTGTACTAGCCTTAAGATATCTGTGGGTATTTTTAAAAAAAATTGTTTTAAAACATCTTGGTGAGGGAAATTTTCCTGTTTTGTTGGCAAATAATTTTGCATGTTTTAAATCTTTTTTTTTATTTTACCCATTTTATTATGTGTTGGGTTTTTTTCATTGTTTTTGAGAGCTGATGTTTTGCAGCGGCTGAGCTCACTACATCTGGTTCATGCTCACCAGTCTTGGGTGCTCTCATGGGTGTCGCTCAGAGTCAGTTTGCTTAAATCACCACAAGGTGGCGTCAACCCATCCATGTATACAGAATGCAACACAGCCGCATCACTGCTGCACTTCTGAATGAAACGGTCCAAATTTCATGCTATTCAAAATGTTGTAATGATCTCACAGTTAAAAGAGGAGATTAAAAAGGGAAACAGAAGAAAAGCTACACCAGTAGTGTGAATGCAAAACACAAGGCCGGCTGTATAACTGTTACTGATATCCCCCATGTCCCCACTAACCTCGGCAGGAAGCAATGTACTTTTCTGGTGGAATGAACTGCTATCTGCCCTCAAGCTGGATTCCTTTCTCCCCACTGTGGAATATTAAGCTTCATTATCTGATGGTTTTTATGACTCTTGTTCCTGTTCTATCATTTTTCGTGGTTGTCTGAATGCTGATTGTGTGCTTTGCTGAATAGAAACATTTCATGCTCTCAGGTGTCTCTTAAAAAGACGTCTCAATCTCAAAGAGACTAATGGATTACTGAATAATGATAGGATGGTGTGTTACCTCCACACTGAGACACATTCTTGGCCCCGGCGATGCCCTGTCCTTCAGTACTGGGACATGGCTCACAGGACAGCTGACCCTCGGTGTCCTGGTAGGTACCAGGAGGACACTGGACACACTGCTCCTGCTCCCCACTGTAGAACGTCCCCACACCACAGCTCACTGAGGACAAAGACACAGGCGAATGCTTCCTGTGGCTCCTGAAGGAGCAGCAACACCAACACACCAGCAGACAGCTGCTGAAACTTTTGACTTACCGCACTTTCCGTCTCGGAGGACCTGTCCCGTACTGCAGGTCTCGGCGCCGTCGGGTACCCTGGATGGTTTCTGTGCCACTTCATACTCTGTCCCAGAAAACTGGATGTAGAACTGCTGTTTGTTGATGGACTTCCTGAGCGTCCGCATGGCGCTCTGCAGCTTCTGCTTCATCCTCTCCCGCACACAGTCCACATTACACGAGTCTGAGGCACAGATTGTCAGATGTTTCTCATTTCCTGCATCCTGGTAGGTTTGCATACAGTCGGATATAAATGTAGGAAAGCTTTTTGTGACAATGCCGTCCGCGCTGCTGCGACAGCACAGACCGCTCTGTGCTTGATTCCCTAATGTCCCTAAAGTTTATTTGTATTGTTAGGCAGGTGTTTTCTGTAGTTTTCGCTCTGGGACATAGATACAGAACACTAAGATGAGATGAGCACCACGAGGCAAAAACCTCATGCCATCCATTATAAAAACCCTTAACAAAAGGTCATCTGGACAGAGTGGAAACCACACTGATATGAGAACAGTGTTTTGTAGAATGTGTGTCCTGTTAATGTCCTGTTAATGTAAATCAAGTGGAGTGGTGGAAAAGAATTCCCCCACAGGGACAATAAAGTCTAAATCTAATCTAAATCTTCCTGCACACCTCTTTACAATATGTGTGCTATTTAATCCCAAGTGGAGTTGAGGCTGTAAAGAAAGACCTGAAATGTACCTGAGGCCTCCTCCTCCTTCATCTCCATCTCAAACTCCGCTGTGATGTGGGAAACCTCTTTGGAAGGAGATTTGCGTCCTCGTCTGCGCTTCTTCGATGAGTCGCACTTGAGGTTGACAAACGTCACCTGGCAGTCATCGGTGCAGGGGAACTGGCCTCCTGTCAGGTGAAGAAGATGAAAATCAGAACATATTTAGATCGTTCTGTGCATGTTTACATGTGGCTGCTGACTGCATTACTGGTGGCGGTGTGAGTAAAAGAGGTTCCTGAACACAAACACATATGATGCTCTGAGATGTTCTGTACCTTGCAGATTCTGCCTGGATGAATCTCTGTGCCTCTCCTTGTTGCGGGGCCTCAGGTGACACTTGGCGTCTTTAATCTTAAACCTGGCCTTCTGTTTGATGGGCGGTGCCAGCGTGTCTTCATTCAAACAGCAGAAACACAGGACTTGACACATTGTGATGAACAGTACATTTGTGAAGCATTAGCTACTGTCCTACCATTACTACTTTTGTTGGAACGCTTTTATCCCTAAAAAATATGACACAAACACTGTATGTCATTCTAGTGCGCAAAATGTCAAGCAACAGCCAACAAAACATAAATCACTAATATATATATTTCTAATGTAGCTCCTTCTGGCAGTTTCCTAACTCCTGTCTAAGGAAGACACTGAAAAAAATGTAGGGAGCACAGCTTCAGTTTGAAAGACTCTTTATTTACTCCCTCTTCATTTTGACATAGATTTAAAGATTTTGCTTTTAGTTTCTGGACGAGCTCCTGACTGTTTATCTGATATATTGATCAGGTGTGCCCCTTTTAGATCCTTCAGATCCTCTGACTCTGGTTTAGGGTTAGGATCCTGCGTTCTGTGTCATCAGCCCTCGTCTCTGAAACAGCCTTCCAGAGGAGATCAGAGCATCTGACTCAGTACATACTTTCAAACTAAACCTTCAAACTTATCACATTTATGCGGTTTTTGCATAGTTTTATGTAAGTTACTGGTATCAGACATGTTCACTATTTGTAGTACAGACTTGTGTTTAGATGACCTCATTGTCTTTATTATCTATTAGACTTTGTTATTAGATTTTTTTTTAAATTTTATTTTGTGAACTGTTCTGTACAGGCTGCAACTAAACCTTTCCTTCTTTTCTTGAAACATTTCAGTTTGCATTTGATTGCAGCTGAGTGCAACTTCCACATCAATCCCATCTCAGCCTCCGTCTGTCTCTCTCTACTCGTTGCAGACTTTTGTTTTATGCCAGTTATTTGTCTGCACTTCACCTCCTTTATGAATGTGTTTATTGCATTAAAATGCATGCAAAATTAGATGATTTACAAAATGATGCCAGAATTTAATATTTGAGCAATGAATCCCTGCACGTGGAGTGAGTTACTGTCAGTAGAAATCCCTCCGCTGAACTGGACCTGCTACACTTCCTGTCACTCTTGGTGTACTGTACCGGCACAGGTGGGTAAAGCAGTGGTGGCGTTTCTCTTCTGCGGAGCTTTCCCAGGCTGGACGGGCACTCCACAGCTCAGTGTGTAGCTGTTCTCTGAGTCTGAAGGAAGCAAACACACACAGAGACGATAGTGAGAAATGAATATGATGAGAGGTCAGGGAGGTGGAGAGGTACGTCTGAAGAATTCCAACAACAGGCTGTTTCATTTGGCTGTAAGCTGGGCAACAGCGAGAGGAATGAAAATAGCTTTTTAAGTGTTTAATGGTCTTATTATCCTGCAGCATTTAAAAAAAAGAGCAGCGAGCTCAGAGGAGGATGTGCTGCCATGTGACCCTACAGCCCAAATGAAAGATCTATGAATTCTGCCTGTCTCTCGTAGTGCACATGTCCACACCAAGATGCATTTCAAGCAGGGAATGAGGGGTGAAGTCTTTAGAGATCATAAAAGTGAGATGATTAAATCAGAGCTCAGGCTGCATCCAGCCACAGGAATTTACATGGCTCGCTCCTAAAATTAAGATGTACTCCAAAAAGACAGAAAAACAAATATTTCACTTTGTGTCTGAGAGCTATCCATCATTCTCACACGACGGCTGCCAAGTTAAACGGAGCAAGAGACATGCTACGGAAAGAAGTGCGTGATCAAAGAATGTAATCGATTCGCAGACGCGTGTTAAGTACTATCGCAGAGGACAGGCTGGGGTGCCAGCCAAATGGCTCGGATGGGTGAAGCCAAGAAAACCATGCAGAGTGAAAAACACATCAGTCTGAGTGGAGAGCCCCCTGAGGAGTCCACTAATACAGCAATAAAGACCCCGAGCGGCTTCATCAAACATCAGTGGGACCGAGGGAAGGGTGGTTCGGAGAGCTGCAGCTGCTGGCCGACACCACCAGAGGGCAGCAACGTCTGCAGCATGACGGCAGCAGCAGCAGCTCATAGAGCACAAAGGCCGCTCTGGAGGGACTGACAGGAGGAGAGGGATTCATTTCATTTGCTGGGTCACCATGTTCAAGACTCAACCTGCACTTTTTAAATTTTTTTTTAACTGTTTATTGCAATAATGTTTAAAAGAAGCGGAGGTAAATAAATAGAAAAGCAGAGACTCAAGAACATTTTCTCTCTCCTTTGTTGTTTTTCTCTCTTGAAAATAATCTCCTTGCTCCCAGAGATACGATCAATCACTACCAATCCCCACACTGATATAAACAACAAATATATAACTAATAAACACAAGGACAAAGGAACCATCCACGGACATCTTTCAATGTCACTCTGAAAAACACAGAGATCAAACTTCATGTCAGCCATTCTTCAAAAAAAAGAAAAAAAACTCTTCAAGTCCGAGAATATGCCACTGTTTATTGTTCTGTGTGATCATGACTAGAACAACTTGGATTCCTTGAAAACACAGAACCTGAAGACAAGACGTCAGACTCCAGAACCTGTGTGGTACATGTAAGGTTTGGCTTAGAGAAAATATCATTTGGCATTCAGAAAAGACGCCCAACTGAATAAATAAACTGTGATGTTCAGAATCTGGGCAATTTGTTGTTTGATTGTATCAATCATTTATTCCAACGACTTTTTCCAAAAACGTGATAAATATATAAAATGATGGACAAAGCCCATTGCTGAAGCTTTGCTTTTGCAGAGTTTCTTAATCTCTTTACATATTTGTGTTATTGGTTAACAATAAACGGTAAAGCTGAATTTTAAAGCTGTAACTTGAAAAATGTTTTCCCCCTTACACAGTGAATTACATACATTAAATAAAATATTGGAATAGAAACATTTAAAGTCATTTATATAGTATTTATATGATTTCATATATATTTCATGCCTTTGTAAACCTGTGAATAGTTAACCGAGAAAAACAAACAGGAGGCACAATAACTTTATCCTCACCTGTCATTGCTGAGAATATTGTTGTTGTTGTTGTTGTTGTTGTGTGTGTGTGTGTGTGTGTGTGTGTGTGTGTGTGTGTACCAGCGAGGAAGAGAGCATTGGAGGGGCAGGACAGCGAGCAGACCTCAGCCCCTCCGCTCTTGGTGCAGGTCAGCTGGGCTCGGGGCGCTGGCTTCCCATTGGGCAGACACTTCACCGCCTCTGAGGAACACACAAAGTCACATCACCATGACAACCACCTGGACACACACACACACACACACACACACACACCTACATTCAGACTTGCCGTGAGGAGTTCACCATGCCACACACATACAAACTACATACAAACACACACACACACACACACACACTGAGCTGTGCTTACCGATGCAGTCTTTCTTGTTCCAGTGGAGTTTCTGTCCTGGTGGACACACACACTCGTAGCTGCCCTGGGTGTTAATGCAGCCATACTCACAGCTCCCATTGTTGATGCTGCACTCGTCGATATCTAAGACAAAGTCACACAGAACATCACCATCAGTGTGTGTATGACTGGCATGTTTCCTGTTTGTACTTTCAGGAGGGCTGTGGTGACATAGAAAGGCAGACAGACTGGGACTGACAAGGGGAGGATCACAGACACATGATTCTACAAGGAAGAGACATGAGAGAAGAACATCTGTGGAGGTTTGTCAGCCTTCACACTGAGAAATCAGTCCACTGAAGTAAAACCTTAGAGCATCTTAACATTGCTCAGAGAGTTCATTTGAAGCTACACGTTTATGCATAGACAGCATTTAGACTGTAGAACTCACAACCTGATCATCAGTGCATCTGTCCTTCCTTGCTTATTCATCACAATCAGTGTGTTCTTTTTTTGTTTGGCCAAATCACAGAAACACTTCTCTGAATAATAAACTATCAGTCAATTACAACACAAACGACATCCTCCGAAAACACCGTACGGTTTCAGTTTCATCAACGTCTGTCTCAACATTCTAACCTTCATGAAGGGAGGATTCACTACAGGACTGTTGTATTTGACTGCATTACATTAGGTCTGCCAGTGTATAAGGGAGCAGCTCGACCTAACAAACTGGCCACTGAGCAGACACGGATCAGCCACAACATCCAAACCACTCACCTCCACAGTGAGTGAGGCCGTACAGGATGTATCCTTTGTTGCACAAGCACTCGAAGCTGCCAGGGTAGTTGATGCAGGTGTGGTCGCAGGTTCTCTCAAAGGAGCACTCGTCAATGTCTGTGGGAGACCAAGGAGACACATGACAGGTAAGAAGCACTGCAGCTCTGTTTAATGGAACAGATCGTGAGTTCATCACCGTTTCACTGACACAGGGTACCTTCATGCAGAGAGCACCCAGTGAACACTAAAGAAAATACACGTTAAACATGTCTTTCACATTGGACCTAAATACTCATTACAGCTCCTCATCATGTAAAAAATCATTTCAAGAGGAACTGAAACTCTTAGCACAGGGGTTACAAATGGACATCGAAGTTTCTGTGACAGCTCAGACAGTGGAAAGGATGGAGCATAACATCAACCTCTATGGGTGGCATCCAAGAAAAAAAATCCCCTGCTTGTTCTTCAGCACCAAAAACATAAATAAATTAAACTTTCCTACACTACATTCTTTGGTCAGATAAATCCAAGATAAGTTTGCTTGGCTCAGATGGGGTCCAGCATTTCTGGCATGAACCAAGTCTGGACCACCACAGTGAATGCATTGTCCTAACTGCAAATAATGTAGTTGGGAGTGTGATGATATGAAGGCGTAGGAGCCCAAAAGATGTTGGGAAGATGACATTTGGGGCGGCTGTGGCTCAGGTGGTAGAGCCAGTCGGTCAATGATCAGAAGGTCGGCGGTTCAATTCCGCCCTGTAACCTGTGTCATGGTAGGCAAGACACTTCACTGCCTGGTATGAATGGATTGGTTGAGGTGGTGGTTGGAGGGGCCATAGGGGCAGAATGGCAGCCACGTCTCTGTCAGTCTGCCCCAGGGCAGCTGTGGCTACAATCGTAGCTACCACCACCAGAATGAATGTGTGTGAATGAATAACTGACAGTGTAAAGCGTCTTTGAGTACCTATTATAAATAAATAAAACTATTTATGAAAGGAAATCATAAATGTCTGAGGATATACTGGCTATACCAGTCTACATCAGACTGGCAGAAGAGGAACCGTCCAGCCAGATAACTATCCCAACACACAACTAAAACCACACAAAGGAAGGAAAACCTGAACACTAACAAATCGGCAGAGTGTGGCGCCTGACTTGAATCCAGTGGAAGGGTTAGGGTTGGGGGTCCATTGGAGTACGTTAAAGAGAATGTAGAGCAACACAAGCCCTCCAACAAAGAACCGCTGAGGAGGAGTCAGTCCGAATAAAAAAGACAAATATACAATTTTTTGAAAAAATTAAAGATTTAATTCCTGTATTTTTATGGCAGTAAATCTTTTAAAAGTTTTTCATTTCACACAACAGTAAATGCCGTAATGTTCAACTTAGAAGCAACAGAATTACTGTAACGTGATAGAATTTTAAATCATTTGACAGTGAAGTTGACTTGCAGAGGGCTGTTCTATGGAGTAAAGGTCAGTGGGATGAGTGCTCTACAGACATCGCAATCTTAATGACTCATTTATGGACAGACTAAAGCAATGACTAAAGTGTTCATCTCATTAATCACAGTGGACATTATAGTCAACACATACATGCGTTCCTCACTAAACGAGGACAAGAGCTCCTTCTAATAAACCAGCTCGGAAAAACTTTACAGGACTGACGCTGCTTGCATTCACAGTTACATCAACGTCTGAGTGAGTGTGTATGAGTGTGCACGCCTGCCTGTGCATGTGTTTATGTATCCTTGTCCAGCAACAAATATTATTAACCTACCAGGAGTGGAGGGCAGCTTCTCAAGCTCACCTGGTTTATTTCAGGCTGTTCCGCGGGGCTTTACAGGGGCTAAAAATACGACATGTTATAATGGAGTTTGTCATGCGGAGGAAGTTGTTAAGGCCTGGATGTTGGCTCGGTAAATACTCCAGGCAAATGTCCATGTGAGGACTTAGGAATAGCTGGCCTGTTTGGAGTTAGCCCACAAGCAGAGTTTACATAAACTCCACTGTGCACACAAGAGTTGCATACAGCTGTTCAACATAAAACTAATTTATATATATGTATGGATAATAAAATGCTGGTTTCTGCTGTGTGCTCTGACATGTTGTTTTTTTTTTTTCGGTGGGACACACCCTCGGTCCTGATGAGGTGTTTCAACAGTGATTGCTGACATTTATCTTCCTGCTGGCAACATTCTCTCTGCCTTTCTAAACATTTAGAATAGAAGGAATCATTTGTGGAAACTGCTTATGCGGCTACGGTAAACGATCAATCTTTCTGCTTAGGTAACTTAGCCAGTTCTGGCAGCGACTCCAACACTGGCATGTAGTGTATCACCAGGAGCTATTTCTTCTGGAAAAGTTCACAGGCGCACAAAGAGCTGACAAATTAAACATTATATTTCATCTTAAGGTCATGTTGGAGCTGAGCACGTCGGCTGTCAGTGGATGGGACAAACCTGGCAGCTATTGGCAGCCATGACACCGTGGCAAAGGTGTGTCACAAATAGGCACTGGTGCTGTGATGTGGTGAACAACACTCAACACCACATTATTAAGAGTCCAAACGCACCACCGATGATATACAGTTAATCCAACACACATACACAATCGCAGACACACTGTTTCGAGCTGGCGGTTTTGGGCCGAGGATAGAAGTACCTCAGGGTTTTGCTATTAATAAAAATCATTTAGTGTTCGTCTGCTCTCCTGCTTCGCTTGCTGTAACTTGAAATCAGGAATCTGCCTTTGGTCTTACAAACAAAACCGCTTATGACAAGGAATCCTCCGCATGTGTGCTGCACATCAAACGATATATTTCCAGGCAAAGATGTCTGAACAAACTTGACCCTTTCCCATTAATATACACAGCAACGTATTTACACACATTTAAAGTTCCTCGGTAGTTAAACACGCAGCCACATATTGGTTTTGGAAACAGCAAAACAATACAAACATTTTAAAGGAGCAGGTTAGATGCATCTTCACTGGGATTTTAGAATAGCTTTGTATCAGAACTGCAAAGAATGGACTTGATGGAAAGTCTATATTTATATTACATAGCAGAGGAACCTCTTGTGTCCCTGCACTGAACAAAGCATTAGACTGACTGATTTTGTCATCTGACTCAAACATCATCTGAGGCTCCAGTCACACATTAGATTCCCTGCCCTGAATGATTCAGTCATGTACTTCTATCTGCACATGGTCAGTGATCACTGTGTCCATCACTACTGGCTGATATGTGGGCAAAACTTATTGTTATGAAACTACATTTCTAAATACATTTGTCTTTACTTTTAAGCATTTCAGTGTTACTCTTTCGTACCCAATTCATATTTGTTCTATTGCAGTTTCTTCACCTTCCTGTTTACTTCTAGCGAGGCTGCAGTAGCCTCACACAACCCACGGTACTTACATATTACAACATCAGAACCACTTGTGTAAAAGCTCATTCAACCTTGAAAGAGGTTCATGTTGGCCCTGAAAAATATCTGCTCCCAAGTAGGTGCTTCTGAGTGTCTCTAGAAAAACTGCTGTGCTGGTCTCACACCGACTAGTTAAACTTGGAAAAGATAAATAATGTTTGGTTGAGAACATCAGGCACCATTTGTCTGCCCTGTTGATGTCCTCGTACGGTAGCAGTCAATGTAAAATTCACCATATAGTTCAGTTCAATTTTATTTGTATAACGCAGTCTACAACATATATTATCACACAGTGCTTCACAAAGTAAGGTACAGACCCTACAAATTTAAACAGAGAACCCGACAATCCAAAGTAGCCTTTGGATTTCCTCTGAGCAAGCGGTTGGCAACAGTGGGAAGGAACCAAACCCCCGCCCCAGAAAGAGGAGGGGAAAAAACCTCCAGCAGAACCAGGCTCAGGGAGGACGGCCATCTGCCTCGACTGGTTGGTTTAACATAACAAACCCTCAACTGTTCTATTTCCTTCGTGGGCATAAAACTAGTTACGTCCACTAACTACTATTAGTTTTTGGTGCACTCAGCATTAAAATGTCAGTTGAAGCTGTTGCATACTACACTCCAACGGAAACTAAAAAGGCTGACGGGGAAGATTAGGGAGCTTCTCCTTTAAAGCTTCACACCATCTTATGCCTGCCCCAACTTCCTGCAGTGGAAGGCCTGTTACACTGCAGTCAGGTCCACAGTTTGCTTTGTTTTCTGGAGGATCTTTATGAACAATGAGTAAAGAGACAGCAAGATAGTTTATGTTGCTGAGCTTTTTGGAAAGATGTGTTTGCTTTTCTGACTCAGTTGTTTAAATGTCCTGTAGATGTAAACGTTTAATTCACAGAAGACCTCAGTGCCTGTAGACCCAGCCACGAAAATAACCTACAACTGTCTCTGATATGTATCAAATCATTCAATACGACCCAAGTTTCAGTGCTTTTAGACCTGATTGATTGACTGCAAATTGACCGGCTGAACAAAAAAGAGTTTGATGAACAGCGGTTAGTGACTGACCTTGACATGTCCGTTCATCAGTGAGCAGCTTGTGGCCTTTCTGGCAGCTGCACTCGAAGGAACCGACTGTGTTTCTGCAGAAGTGATCACAGCCTCCGTTGTTCTCCTGGCATTCATCAATGTCTGGGTGGAGAAATGAAAAGAATCAAGAGAGAGACAGTAATAAATGTCTTATTAAAACTCAACCTGTGATGTGTACGTCCATTTACGTTCATCTGACTCACATCTCATGTGCATTTTTGGAACAAGAACCTAAACAGAAGCATCATGTCACAACCTACAATGACGTCAGCAACCACCGTGCCAGGAGATCTTATTTTGCAAAATGACTTGAAACTAGTTATGACATTGGGCCTATGACATTTAGGACTGTGTAAAAGTTTGGGTACTTTAGATATCAC